GTCTCCCGTATTTACATTTCCTTATGCATTTCTGCCTCACTATGCAAATAAGGTGGGCGGAGTTTCTTGGATCAGCTCCTCTCCTATTGGTCAACAGACAGGAAGAAGCAGGAACCATGTGCAGATCTACAGTACATGCTTGTGCTGCTTCAATTTAGATTAAAGTTTAATGTTTAGTTTAAAACAAAGGCATGAAGGAAAACACTTACCTGTGTCTTTGTTTTAAACTAAACTTGAAGCTTTAAGCTTATGTTCACAGCTGGAAGGCGACTGGTCGGATGGCGATGATGTGAGGGTTAGGTGTGCAGCGTCTTGCTAAGTGTGTTGACTTTCAGATGAAACAAGAGTTTTTTTAATGATACAGAGGAGTTCTCTCTGCATCTCTTTGAAGGRGAGGTCTGGACTGGCACTGGGACCAGACGATGGGGAACTTGTGTTTCTGATCTGTGGTCTACAGTTTCCATCATGTGATGAATGTTTTAACAAGGTTAAAATTAACRGATCATCAAGACTAAAGTCACATAAAATATTTATTTTTTACCCACTGAAATAAAAAAAGATCACTGACCATCTCTGTCAACATCTCATGTTCATCAGAAAACAGATTATGGTTCTGCATGACCAACAGACTGGACTTCATTTTCAGATGATTATAGAATTGATACAGCTTTTAATCTGTCTATTCTGATATTATTTTTTGTCACAAAGTAACGTCCTAAAAAGAATTAGGGAAAAGTCTAAAAGTCTAAACTTATTTCTAGTTTTTTCTTTGAACCATCTCAGTACCTTCATGAATGCCTCCGAAGGCGTGAAGTTTGGGTCGGACCCTCTTCTGGACCGTGTTCAGCAGCTCCACACAGCCGACCCGCTGCAGTTCTTTAGGAACCCAGTCTCTGAAACCTGCCAAGATAGTCATAAAATCTGTTCAATGATACTACATAATGAAAGTGAAGAAATCAGAAACAAACAAGCAACAAGTTTATAAAATCTTAACACCATGTGACCTGTGCTGGAAAACAAGAGTCAGAATGAGTCCTTGCTGCAGTGCATAATAACTTTATATGCCCATTTTTACCAAGATTAAGGTTTGTATTAAACTGAGTCTATCAGGCTATTTTTATACTCATCCTAATATCTAACAGGTATGTCTTCAGAAATTAAGCTGAATCCAGTCAGAGGTCTGAACTTGAAATATCCATTAGAACAGCTCCGGATGTTTTGATTTCATGTCAGAAGCTGGTGCAACATGAACAAATGGTGACGTCATCATTTTAACATGGTTGCTCCTCGCCTCAACAGAGAACAAAACTCGACTTTTACCATTTTTGCAGTTCTGTGTTGTTTACCTTGCATTAAATCAGTCGTACTTGTGGTACTTTATAGTGATTATTAGGTTTAACACTGTTTGTACACTCAAAATGCCATACAGAGGTATTGTTGTGTAATTGTAGCATTATTTCAATGTTCTGACAAGCTGCAAACTGGAACAGTCTGACTTCACTATTTCAAATTCTGCTCCAACTGGAACAGCATTATCCTTTGTCTTATAACCTTTATAGTTTCTTTAGAAATTGTCATATTCTTCCTGTTTGCTGCCATGAACCTTTTGTTCCAGGCTGCCTTCAGTCGTGCAGTCTGGCTGAGGGGGAATTCCCCAAATAATTTATGCTCATTATAAAAAAGACACGGTCAATTAATCCTACATTTTATACAGAAGATAACCAAGTTAGTCATGGCTTGTCTAACAGAGAAGCAACACCTGCCTCTCGTTTGAAGGTAACAAGTTGTTAGAAGCTACATGAGTTAGCATGTTAGCTGGTGAAATACTAACATATAATAATACTAATACTACTACTACTACTACTACTACTACTACTAATAATAATAATAATAATAATAATAATAATAATAATAATATATACAGCCTACTGCAGATGCTCTACAGAGGCTAATAACCAGCAAATTAATAACTAACATCACCTTATCTGGTGTATAAATCTTATTTAAAACTAATAAATGAATCTGTGCTGCAGTTTAGTTTCACACTTGTGTTGAGCTGTTTTTTTCCTGCTTTTTTCTTGTAAGTCAGGTACACAGTGGTCAGACAAACATAAAACTGTCAAACTTCAGTTCCTCACATTTCATTAAAACAACTGGATAAATTATGTACAAAATGTTCTCTACTCTCTGTTAAATAAATCCCTAATTTAAAACAAAAAAAAGATTATCTAGTTTTAAATCAAAAACTTGTGATCAAATTAAAAATTGTAGGTTTGATTAAAATAATTGTAAATAAAAATGTAATGAATAAAACAGCWGAAAATCTGCCCTGAAGGCAGACTGTTTTCATATAGTAACTGTCAACATGTTTACTGGGTCACTGTTCTGACAAATATTTGAATAAAGTTTCTTTACAGAATCTTCCAGCCTTTTTTCCAGTTTGTATACATCTAATGCCTTTTTTAAAACCAGATCAAGCTCATAAAAATGAAGCTTGCTGGAGAAAACACACCCACACGCCTGTGTTTTAATCTAAATTCAACATTCTGTCAGATGAATCCTCTTCTTCATGTCTCTTCTAGACTAGTGCAGCATCGACTACCCCCCCATTTTCTGTCTCCCTATATTTTCAGCCGGCACCTCCCCCCCGCAGCACTGCCGTCCTATCGTAAGCTCCCTCTCTAGTCGTTTGCAGTGTCTGTCACACTGCTGCGAAATCGAGTTTCCATGCAATCAAACAGCCACAGCGGCTGCTGCAGAAGCAGCGGCAACTCTCCGTAGGCGAGAGCGAAGGAAATCACTCAATAAAGCCAGATGGAGAGTGCCAAGGAGAAGGAAAAAAACAAAACAAAACAGGAAAAACAACTGGGACCCAAACAGCTAGAAGGGGAATCTAATCAAGCTGCGATGAAAACCAAAATAAAATCCAACATATGTACATTTTTTATAAAATCAAACACAAATATTGAATTTTGAAGCATATTTGAATTCTCGCTCCTCTCCAGTTGGAAACCTGTGTTGACAAGGATGCTGAGGGCTCTCAGTCCCACACAAACGTGGCTCTGCTTCATCCTGACTTTGAATAACCAGGCACGACTTGGTCTCCTCTAACCACCAGGGGGCTGTGATTGGTTAATTGGACTCACCGAGCGGAGGTCCATGGGTCATCAGGATGTCGATGCCCTCGGGGACGAGGTTCCATTTATCCAGCAGAGACTGACCCCGAGGCAGGTTGAACCCCCAGCCGTTAAACCACGGAGTCCTGCGGAGACGTGGGGGGGTCACATTAGCATCAGTCACTTCACCATTATCATGGCATACATCAACAACCATGTCCAGAAGCAACAAACGTGACACATTTTTACACTTTCTTTCAATGTTTCACAACTAAAGAAATACACCGTTTTACAAAATCTTTTTTAAATGCTCATTATCTGCATTGTTCATTAAATAATTTTCATAAATCATTTCCCAACACAATAATAACACAAAAACATTAAACTGCACCTGAAGTCATTTCCCTTTTAAGTTTTTACTCACTGAAGGGCTGCACTTACTGCAAAATAATGTAAAAATGTGCTGATTGTAATATAAAATGGCAAAAAAAAACAACAGATAAAAACTTAAAATACCCAATTTTGCTGCTAAATTGGAACATAAATGAGCCTTTTTCATAAAATGTGCATTTTATTTGTTGTAGATACATATTTGGTTGCATGAATAGTTCATTTTTTTGGCTTTTATTTAAAAAAATTGAGTTTATGTGAAGGACTTATGAGCAGTCAGTATCTTATCTGCAGCAGCAGGCAACTAAATCAGTTTGAGACTCAAAAGTGATAAAAGGTCATTTCAACCATCTAAAAAACCCAAGTCTTTAAACAAAGCTATAGTTATGTGAAAGCTTTATTTGAACTTTTACACCACAACGTTGCATCAATCTATTATCCACACAGACTGTGGTTATTTATGCAAACATATATCCAAACACAGCTTACAGTAAGCTGCAACATGCTACACAGGCTGCATACACACACACTATATACTCTAATGAAGCAAAACCAATAAATAAATAACACATAACTTCCTTGATCTATTATTAAAGTTTGAATTGTGAGCTGACTGAAACTGTGAAAAATGTCTGTTTTAAAAACCTGCTAGCTTAACTCAGTGAGGATTTCTCATTTACTCCACRTTTAAATCACAATAACTCCCATCTACTGCAGGTAAGATACTGCCTGCTCAGAGGCACTTCATACATCTGAAATACAAACTATCTAAAGCCCTTAGTATTGTGGTGTGCACAGCATAGTTTGTAAACATGCTAAAGTAAAAATAAACAAATGTTATGCAAAGACTATCAGGTTAAATGGTACGTAGATATTTTGTTGTTTTAGTGGGAAATCTAAACGTCTAATAAACATGTTTACCTTCACTAATTTATACCTTTAAACAAAAACAATTCAAGTCACGATACTAGAAACGGTAGCGATGTATCCGTGACGTGACTCATTAAAGTCACATTATGGTCCAAGTTATAATTTAAAAGAGGAACATAAAATGGTTGGTTGATCTTCTAGTTAAAGCAGTCTGATAATAAGTCAGACTGTTCATCCATGAACTGGGAGCGCCTGGGTGAAGGCAATGGAGCAAGTGCTTTACATTCCAGCAGCCACGAGCAGGAGAAATTAATTTCACAAGTTAAAACAAAACCACCGGCTGCACGGGCCTGCTAGGCGAGGAGAAAAGTGAATTTCTGAACAGCGGGGAGCCACGTCATGTGTCAGCCCCCTTCTCCCTCTGCTACCCGCCTAAAGATTGACTGACAGCAGCCGGGCCACCTCCAGCATCCTGGATGGGAGTCTGCCTCTCTGGGGTGACAGGCAGCTTCTCAGCCTCCAGACACAAAGAAAGCCTCAATTTGCCTGAGTGGGAAAGGATGAATGGATGGATAGATGGATGGATTCAGGAGGTTCAAACAGATGAGAAAATAAAGTGAACTGTGCAGAGGACAGATATCGGAGCAGAAGCCACAGAAACTGAGGGGAGAAAAAGAAATGGAGTGGAGACTGCTTGATAAATTGAGCTTTCATTTGTCACAATAGTGTCAACGACTGAAAAAAAAAAAAAAAAAAAAACGGCTGCCATGGGAGGAAAGGAAGATAGATTATCATTTATAATACCTCAGTATTATGAGCTGACCTACTGCTACAAACTCAGGAAAACTTCATTTTAATTTGAGGTTAGCAGCACAGAGGGGCAGAGCTGTGGATGAAAAGATTTTGGCTTCATTACGCGCAGGTCGCTTTGACACACACTGCTGAGTTTGGCTTGCAGTCACTTAGCGATGGCACTGTGGATGGTATGTGACCGAGGGGAAATCAGGGCTCCACAAACATCAATAGGTTGTGTTACAGTGAAGGATGAATGCTCCGGCGTTAATCAATACCAAGAGCTGCAGAGGAGAGGGCCGAGTGGGGCTAACCAGAGGCAGAGCAGGCTGGAGATGTGTAAAACATGAGCTCACAAGCCCCTCTGGTTCATTTTAAAACACAAAACTAACTGAAAACTTCACAACAACAACAACAAAAAAAGTCTCATTAAATCCAAGCAGGGAGTCAAACAGGTATTACAATGCAGAGGAAGCAGCAGCTCGACCTGCTCCGAGTGTTAAATGTTTGTGCCTCTGAAGACCTGAAGCCCGCTCTTTGATTTGCTCGCTCAGTCGTTGCCTTGTTCTCTCGCTCGGTGGAGAGCTGAGAAATGAGGTTAAAAATGAAATGTGAGGAGCGCACGGGGGAGTGAAGGCCACAGACTGAACTGATTAATTAGAACTAATCACACAAATCGCAGCTAATGGAAGTCTAATGGATTATTGAGAAGGCTCACCACTTCTCAGATGGAAATACTGCTGCTGCTGCTGTGATGTGGAGGAACTTAGAAAAACAGTGAATCAGAGCAGAGCCGGCCTCGGCGGCTGGCTGCACACAGAAACAACCAGCAGGGTATTTGTCTGRCTCTGGGTTTTGACTAATAGCAACAAGGCCGAACTTTGAAAAATGGCCGAACGCGTTCGCTCATTTCGAAAAATAAATCACAGTTTCTCGCAGCAAAAAAAAAAACAGCTGGAGTTGTTAATTTTACTTGTTGTTTCACAGCATAAACACATTCATCTGAGA